GAAATGGGGATGTTCTATCGGGAACTCACCAAGGCCTGCTGGCCTGGGTCTGAAAAAAAAAGCCTGGGTTAAAACCTGTCTTGCTGAACAAAGTGGACAATGAGGACTACTGAGAACAATGGCAATGGGTTTTTGATTCTACTGCACCTATTGGTTTTGTGGGAGCCTAGACAGTTCGGGTGCTCACCCGAATTCATAAATAAATAAATAAATAAATAAAAATTAAAAAAAGAGCTACTAAACACAACATCTCTTTCTTATTTATGGGATATTATATTGAAATGTTTTCTAAACCTGTGAACCTTGCATTTCATTTTTCATAGAATGATAGATATCTTGTAATTCCCACTCCTTCCTTCTTGTTATGGTATGTTCTTATTAAACTGTCCCAAGTCCCCTATTTTGCCTTAATACTGTGATTTTTTTTCCTTTAAAAATATCTTTTTATTGTGATCTGGTGTGTGTGAGTGTGTGTGTGTGTGTGAGTGTGAGTATGTGCTAGAGTGTCTCTGTGTGTTCATGCATCTCACAGAACTTTTGTGAGAACCTAAGAACAACTTTGTGGAGTCAATTGTCTACTCATCTAAGACCAGCTCTCAATCTCTTTAAGTGACTTAATTCTGCCATTTCTTATGGAATTCACTCTCTCTACAACTTCTCTGTAGAATATTTACCCCCAGTTTTCAATTAAATATTAGACTCCTTGAATTCATATATTCTACTGCTCTTACCCTGACTTAACTCTTACCTTCTTTCCTGATTTGATTCAATTACTTCTTCAGATAATGGGTAACAGTGCAAGTGTGAAATGGAGACTGAGACAAGAAGAGAGTGCACTAGACCAGGGATCTATTGTGAACACATCACAATAGCCTTAGGAATGTAAATGAAGTTTGGATGTGAAGGTGGATGTCTATGCTTGGAAGGTCTCTACTTGTCTGTGTTTTGGAGGCTTGGGTGTTGAAGAGTGACTATTGAGTAGTGGGGGAAACTTAGAGGGGGAAGCCAGTAGAAGGTGATCTCCCTCATAATTACTTAAGATAGTTCTTCATATATGATGGAATTAAAATAGTCCAAACCTGACCATGTCCAGAAACCTCTGGTTTACTGTTTTGGTGTGATTGCTTTCCCCAACACATGCCTCAGTCACTGATACCCAACAGGAGGATGTCTCCTCATGGCATCAGTGGTAAAGCTGTGGGGTGATGAGTTAACTAGTGTTTTGGATTTTATCAGCTCATTGTCTGTGTATGTGTCATTTGTTACATTGAATATTGTAAATGTCAGTTTTATTTTTCTTAATAGAGGTATCTACCATTTGCACAAAAGTGCAGAATATCAGGCAGTACTCACTTTTATTCTTTGTAAACAACACTTTCTTCCTCCCATCACACAGTTTTCTATGGATCATGGTTTGAGCACACCCGTGCCTGGCTGTCCATGAGAGAAAGGGACAACTTCCTGCTTTTTAGCTATGAAGACCTGAAACAGGTAACCAACATTTTTATTTCAACCACAATCCCTCTCACAAACCCACCCCATGGAGCACCTCAAATTCCTCAGTGTTGCCATGTCAGTGTTAGGCTCATGAACACTCACTAAAAGTTAGATTATTGCTTATGTCCTTTATTGACCTGCATCTGACATTTCCTCTCCAGCCTCCTAATCCATTTTCCATGCCTTCTTTACCCTACTTTACATTGAGAAATGGAGGAGTAGCTCACACTTGCACTACAGGTTTTTAATTCTGTCTGGGGAACACATTTGATACATCTGATAATGCAGTGGTCAGTGGTTAGTGGGGATAGTAGTGTTATTTTACTGTTGTGTCAAAATGTATGTCATCTACACTCGACTGCAAGAAGCGAGACAAAGGAGAAAACTATCAGTGAATTCTGGGAGAATACAAGTGCTGGAGTTACAGGAACAGTACTGAGTGCTTCACAAATCTGACTGGGCATCTACAGGGTGAAGCCAGTCAGGAAAGATGGTGTTCTGTGCTCTGCAGTACAGAGGGTTCTTCAGGATGGACTAGATTACACTACAGATTTCCAAAGTCTTAGTAGAGAATATTTAAAATGTTTCACCATTAAGTAATGCCATATATTTAAATAGACTGATAGACTATGCATTTACCTGGTCATTGAAGGTTTCATCTTATTAAAATGCCCAACTGATGGTATAAATATGTTTAAGTACTTTGGGTGTGTCTCAAATATCTCTTATTTTAAAAATTAAAAAAAATACCTCAGCAGTATGTCCCCTGACTGCAAACCCAACTCTGAGACATAGAATCAATTTCATGGGTTCTAGATCATCTTTGCTTGTTAGGGTGGTTTGAGTTCAATGTTGGCTACAAAAGACATTGTTTCAAAAGACCATAAAGAAAAAATAATTTTGTGTATTTTATGTTCATTTAATTAAAAATACTCCCTCTTGATGATGGAAGTTACAAAATAATCCCATAGTAGTTCAGGATTATGTATAATAAAGGGTTATTTACTTACAGGTAGACTCACAGATCACAGTCCTCTGCACGAATGGGATCAGATATCAAGTATAAAGTTAGAATTATAATCAGCAAAAATGATATTAAAATTATGACTAGATCATAAGAGGATGGTAATGATGACTAGTCTTCGTTTCCATTGAAGACTGGAAAAGAGAAATAATATTACTTGAGCAGGCAGGAAGTACAATCAAGCAGCTTCCAAAATGTACAGTAGATGATGGAGACAACTGGCTGCCTAGGCAATCACTCAAATTCTCATTTGCAATGTTGAAGCAATCAACTACTGTAGGCTAACAACTAGAGTAACTGACAGACCATTTTCAGAGGCAGGAAAATTTTCAGAATCGTCTTACCCTATCTTTTCTAGGATTGGCAGTCTTTTTTCTTGTTTCCTGCTGAGTCTGGACATTGTGCACTTTGTCATTGGTCAAGGCATAGACAAAATGCCAGTTGTGCCAAGAAGAAAACAAACTCCAAGTGGAGTGTCTTTGGTACTCAATACTCTCTCAGGAATAGATGTTGCCAAGAGCAATCATGTCTCACATCGACAGAATCCTTAATTATTTAAATGTCATGTTCTACAGATCTTTGAAGTAGTTAAATATTACCTATCTAGGTGAATAGATACAATACATCTCTATGTATCCAAAGAAACTGATTAGTTTAACTATAAGTATGACAAACATGGAAGACTATTGACTTATAATACTTAATACCTGCATAACTTAAAGACTAAGACTTCATATTAGAATATTAAACAATCTTTAAACAACTGTGCAACAAATGAGCACAATGATCTCAAAATGTAAACAATATATAAATATCTTGATCACAGGTAAAAATATATAATGCAATATGATAAATATATCCTAAAATTGTATCAATATACAAAATGTCTTAAACAGAGGTACAAGCATGAATGTATACAATCTGACAAAATAACTTTGCATAGGTATACAAATATACAGATAAGCAGAAATCAGAGCATATTCAATATAACAAATAGAATTTGAACTTATATCAATATACAAAAATCTATACCAATGTAAATTGTCCATAAATAATAGCTCACAATATTTACTCTATTACCCACTTTTATTATTATTAGTGTAAGTTCACACTAATCTACCTATCATCCCATTCAGTTTTCCCTCTTTATTTTTTTCTGTTATTTTTCTTTTGTACATCTCTGGGGCTACATAATTTCCATCCCAACTTGAACCCTATATGAGTAATAATCTTCTCAAAAATGGTGTCCCTAACCTTAAGGACAAACTTTGTTGGGAGAGGAGATGTCATCTTCTAGAATTGCTTCCAACTGTCATGAAAATGATATTCTTTCTATGGAATACTGTAAAAGTAAAATGACAGTTAAGTTTCAAGATTATTGTTTTGTATAATTGCAAATGGTCTCTGAGTAGTTGATAGGTTTTTTTTTTAAGTGCTTATTTGGTGTTATGACCAAAGCAGTGTAAGAAGGCTCACCATTTCCTCAGCCAGTCCCCCAAAACCTGTCTTATAGTAGCACTATCAGCATCATGAGGTCATAATTAACCAGGTGGAGTCGTTGTTGTGGACACTATCTTCTACCTGGAAGTTTCAAAGATTACTATAGGAAAATCTAGTGTTTATTGTTAAAAACTTAAACATTATTCATATAGACATATATTCAATGAAAGATATAATACAGACAAAATGGGCATGAAGACGAGTAAAATAGTCCTCAAATCTACCTTCTTTCTGTCCCGTACCAGATAGCACCTGACATGAGACAAAAATTCTGATTTGTTTCTTTTAACAACATGCTTGTATTTAGAGAAGGATAGTCATTGTCCAACTCCAATGCCAGCTCTTATTTTTAATTACAGATGTATACATATCCAGATAATCAAATTTTTCCATACAGATGATAAGTCAGATTTCTCTTTGCTTAGAGATTCTATCTACATAGCTATCTTTTCATATTTAGGTATCTAAATGTCCAAGGTCTCTTGACTCTATGAAGATGAGACAAGAACAAAACTGCCCCAACACTTATGAGGTTTTCTTATGATTGTCACCTCTGTGAATGAGCTGTCATTTCTCTTTCTCAAGAGGTTTCTCTTTTTCAAATCAACTCTTTATCAATTTTGATGGTATCCATAGCTTTTCCTCTCCTGTGGAAACAAGTGCAAAACCATTTCTGCAATGTATCACCTTTCCTGGTTTCCATTGTGAGGTCAGCATATCCTTGAAATATACCAGCTGACTTAATTCAGAAGTTGTATCTATTATCCAATGTCTCTCTGCTGCTGTTATTAATTTCTCATTAGTGTTAAGAAAAATTAAAGTTAATAAAGCATTAGGGAATATATTTCTGGGGGTATTTTCCACCCTTTTCTCTTTGTTTAATATATCCTTTAGATGTCAACTGTAAGATAGAGGCCACTTGTTTGTCCCAGTTCCCCAGAACTGAAATAATCACACATAAACCATATTAATTAAAACACTGCTTGGCCCATTAGCTCTAGCTTCTTATTGGCTGACTCTTACATTCTTAATGTCCTACATTCTTAAAACATTTTAAATGCCATATTCTGTTGTCTTTGAAAGGTTTGAAGAATACATATCTATCTAAAATACATCTCTGTACATCTAGAAAATCTAACTAACATGACTACAAGCTTAACTACTATAGATGATTATCTATTAGCCTATATTTCTTACTTATACATTGCATTTTTAAATGAGCTGAACAAACACAAAACCTTAATCAAGATCAGAAATACATTTACACCATATAATAAAACTGACCTTAATTTGTATCAACAAAACAAGAACCATACAAATGCAAATCTCTATATCATATCCCCTTTTAAATATAAAGAAACATTTATAGACAATCTTGGGAATATGGGCATAGTTCTATCTAAACTTCTTCCTGCTGTTTATTGGGTGAAGTAATTTTTTAAGGGAACCTTTGAGGGGGTCTTGGTTCATTAAACCACATTAGCCTGGAATGAATCCACAAGTTCTCATCCTAGGTGGAACCAAAAGAAGAACCCCTTTTCCAAAGCAACAAATCCTTAGACCCAAATTCTGAAGTCAAGATACCTTAATAATATACACGCCGATTTAGCTTATCAGCATGTACAATGAAATGTCTCTCTGTATTTAGTTCATTCACATTCAAAAAATTCAAAGTAAACATAATATACATAATCCAGATTCTCTGAAAATATTCCATATTTATGTGGTTTATTTTTACTCTATTATTTTAAATATTTATTTTGTTATCTTTTATTATCCTTTTATCATAATATATAACATATTATATTATATATAATATCCAAATATTATTTTATTATCCGTTAATCTATGACTGTCTGTACTGTCTCTTTAAAGACATGTTTTATGTTTTAAAAAACATTTACTTTTTTTTGATAAGATAATTTTTATTGAAAAAAATTTCTGCCTCCTCCCCGGCTCCCATTTCTCTCCACCTCCCTGCACTCCTCTCCCCTTCCTCTATACCTCTTCCCCTTCCCCCCACTCCTTTCCCCCTCCCTCTCCAGTCCAAAGAGCAGTCAGGGTTTCCTGCCCTGTGGGAACTCTAAGGTCCTCGCCCCTCCATCCAGGTCTAGGAAGGTGAGCATCCAAACAGGCTAGGTTCCAACAAAGCCATTTCATGCAGTAGGATCAAAACCCAGTGCCATTGTCCTTGGCTTCTCATCATCCCTCTTTGTCTGCCATGATCAGAGAGTCCGGTGTAATCCCATGCTTTTTCAGTCCCAGTCCAGCTGGCCTTAGTGAGCTCCCAATAGATTAGCCCCACTGTCTCAATGGGTGGGTGCACCCCTTGCAGTCCTTACTTCCTTGCTCATGTTCTCCCTCCTTCTGCTCCTCATTTGGACTTTGGGATCTCAGTCCATTGCTCCAATGTGGGTCTCTGTTTCTATCTCCAACCATCGCCAGATGAAGGTTCTAGGGTAATATGCAA